ATTAAAAGAAACCCTGTAACTATGACCGCTTCTTTTCTATAATAAAAATAAACTTTTTACGAACAGTGACGTCACTCTCCACCCCATGCAATCTAAATCGTTCCAAAATGGTGCCATTCGTTTGTGTTTGATTTGTGCTGGGTTGTGCCGTTCAAATTTACATTGTATCTATTTCCTGTCCTCAGAAATAACAAATACAAAACGGGCCAGTGACGTCACTCTTCACCCCATGCTGTCCAAATCCCTCCAAAAAGGTGCTGTTCTTTTGTGCTCGATCTGTGCTGATTTGTGCCGTTAAAAGAAACAATGTAACCATGACCTCTTCTTAAATATAACGGGAACTTTACTCTCCACCCCGTTTAGCGCGGCTGCAGAGTTAAAAAAATAGTGTTTGTGCTGCCTTAAAATTTAAAGTTTAGTCAGCTCCAAGTTTTCACTAACTTCATATTTCAAGTTGACTAAGCTTAAATTTCAAGGCAGCATTAAGTTGAAACGGTGAGACCGTCTTTTTTTTATTTTTACAGTGAGTCTAAATCGTTCTAATTCATTTGTGCTCGATTTGTGCCATTAGAATACTGAACATATTCCCCCTAGGAATAACAAATACATGCTAATTCAGGGAGCTCTCCGTCCATGCCAACGGCTACGTTCGTTTGTGCTATAGATGCCGTTAAAATGAACATTCTATTTTTATTTCTCCTCAGTAAAACATTACAAATATCTGGAGGAAAAGTGATGGCACGCAAGCCGCTCGTTCAAATTACTGTCTTCTATAGTTTGCAAATCTGCTGGTTTACAAGGTTAACTTGGTTAACAAGGAGTATCGCCAACTCAACCATAGCAGTCACAGAACAGACTCCGCAGCATTCACTCATGCATAGCTAGAAGGGGCGTAGCACCCAGCTCTCAGACCGAAAGGGGGACACCAGTGCCCGACTGGGAAGCAGCGTGCTCGTACATAACCCTCCAGGGTGAGTAGAGCACTGCTGAGCTCACCAAGAGAGCAGCCTAAGAGGAAGGCAGAGTCCTGATGTGCTACCCAGGGATGCCCACAGAGTGAAGAATTCGACTCTCAAATGAGAGGGACTCAGATGCTCAGAAGTGAGCTTATATATATTTATAATAAAAACGCTATAAAGGCGCATTTCATGTGTTCATGAGGAGTGTGGGAGTATTATCGCACTTAATGTGGGCTATGATATGGAGGCACCCGCGCAATCCCTTGCGTTTTTTTTTCCTGCGGAAAGAACTTAACATTTTTGGATGTGCTTTCTGCATGCAGTCTCTGTGAATGGAGCACGTCACAACAATGAACTGGCTCACAGACATGAGAAATAAATCTAGGCAATAGAAAGCTTGAAATGTCTTCTATTAAACGAACCAATTCAAATAAAAAACAAATCTTCTGTAATTATGTAGTCTGTATGAAAATGTGCATTTCTCTATTGAAGGCATGTCCATTAGGCCTACTGTGGAGATGGGCCAGCAGCGTCGGCATTCGGCAGTGGTGTAATGTAACGAAGTAATAATACTTCGTTACGGTACTTAAGTATTTTTTAGGAGTATCTGTACTTTACTTGAGTTTTTATATTTCAGCCAACTTTTAGTTTTACTCCACTACATTTCCTAATTAAAATGTATACTTTTACTCTGATACATTTCCCCGAAGCATATTCGTTACTTACTATAAAATAGTCAGAAGTTAGAAGAACACGGACTGCAGGAAAGCAGGTTTGACGAATCAGTGGTCTGGTGTTTGAAAGTTAGACTCCTCAAAACACCTTTGCTCATGTGCAAACAAGTGCGCACACAACCGCAAATGATTTATTTTCCATTCAAGTCGAGTCTGGGGTGTGCGATACAGCATCGTCTGTGATAATACGGTAAGTGTTGTTGTAATGATGTGCAATCTGACATTATCATGTAGGCTATATCACCAAATCACACAGAGAGTGCATGCACGTTGATTTATTAATCTATTAAAACTCAAAATTCCAGGCATTCTAAATTATAGATGGCAAAAAATGCTTCTGTATGCTTTTTATATTTATATAATTTAATATAGTTAACTTAATCTGTATCACACAAAGAGTACAATTTTTCTGCAGATATCAGCATGAACACATTTAATAATAATTTTATATAAGTTCAGTAAAGCAATAAGTGACTTACATTTTAGACATACTATTGCTTATTGAATGAATCAGCTTTTTTAAAGAACCGGTTGAATAAATGATTCAGTGATTCACTCATTAACAGTCAAATGCTTTGTTTCTGAATGAATCAGTTGTTTAAATGAATTGGTTGAATCTCAGTGACTCACTGATTAACAGTCACTTGCTGTCACCTACTGGCGGTTTTAATTTCACATTTCAACTATTTTTTTCATGTTTTAAATTATTTCAAATATCAGTATTCAACGTTTTATGTTAAAAACGAAATATTAGGCCTTTTTACATTAGGCCATTGGGCCATTTATGCATCGGTAACTGCAGTTTAAATGCATACATGTCCCCTCTGAGATCCATAAACTGTGTAAATACATTTAAATACTATTTCAGATGCAGATTCCAGAAATTTTTTCTTATGTTGGAATGAAAGACACTACCGGATGAAGTGCTTCTTATTCTTACCCAAAAATACAAAATGGAAGAAAGAGTTAAAACTGAACACAATCTTGCTACTCAAGCTGTGTATATGAACATTTATTTATTTGCTTCTTTTCCATTTTGCATTTACTTGTACTTTTACTTTCAATACTTAAGTACGTTTAAAATAATAAAAAAATGTTTTCGTACTTAAGTACAATAAATATAACATACTTTAAGACTTTTACTCAAGTAATATTCTAAACGGTGACTTCAACTTCTACCAAAGTCATTTTCTGGTAAGATATATGTACTTTTACTTGAGTATGGCTTTCAGGTACTTTATACACCACTGGCATTCGGCAACTTCATCTTTGCATCCGACACTGACTGAGAAAGCACTACTTTAGTAATAAATAATTAAAATGTCTTCTTTTTCCTTGACACATCGTTACTAATCATTACTTTTGCCGATGCTTTGTGGCAAGCTTTAGCGCTGAATAGGCTATAATACACCTACATGCCTATTAAAGGATGGTTTAGTAGATTATTATATTAATCAACTTAATATAAACGTGCGACTGGTTGCCTAGAAAAATATTTAGTCGGGGGCAGGCCTACATGGCACAAGGAACCGATCCATTTTTAAAATAAAATGCTGTGACATTACGAAATGTGCGACTGCAAATCACGTCACGACGTAGCCTATTGCATTGCACGAGTTACACATGTGTAATGATATTTTTTATTTTATTTCATCTTTTTTATGTATGGGGGTGCTTTGGTCTTGCTTGGGGGTACTGAAGCACCTTCTAGCCCCTCCCTAGCGCCGCCCATGATTCACCTCCTAAATTACTACACCACTTGTGCAGTCACAATTCTATTTACTCAGGCCGATGCTTTGTGTATAACATGCGTGACATTTTTTTTATGACATTAAACTTTATTTTTAGAATAATTGTACATAGGTTAAGCAAAACAAATGTGATTATCTCTGAAATCCTTTTATACAACTTTTATACACATACTTAACTGTAGACACATAAATAACATACTCTATGTGGTACAGAACAAATATTTTGAGCATCCCTTATTCTGTACCTTATTTTCCTATAAAGAATCACAGTTGTCCCTTTTTTATATTTTCTGAAGTTGACAAACCTAGATGTCCAGATATCGGATATGTATTTGATTAAAATCCACATTTGGAAGTGGCTCAGATTGAATGCGAGAAAATCGGATCTCGTGCAGATTTTTGTGTTTACGTGTGTGCAACAATGTATCCGATCTGTGTCAGATGTGAGTAAAAAATCGGATTTGTTGTGCCAATGTAAATGCAGCCCATGACTCATCACAGGTGCTGAAGATTACTACAGCAATAAATGTAGATCCTCTGCATGTTTACAGATTTAATGCATGGAGAAAATGGCAACAACAACAAAATAACAAGGGTCCTTGCTTTTGGATTATCATTAAAATAAGCTCTGTGACCAACAAAAGCTTCTTGTTTCTTACATGTTCGGTTCATCATGATAATCTTCACAAATGATCACATTTATGAATTTTGAAGCCTAAATACAATTACCAGAAGTAAAAAGCAAAATGTAGGCTAAAAATGTACTACACCACAGTTAGGTGATGTCAACGTCACCCTCACAAAGCTGCTGACAACTCTTTCAGTATTTGTTTACATACTTTGAGTGTGTATCAGAAGCGTAGGGAAGTTTTGGGACATAATATCACAGACCACTGTGGCCTGTCTGACCTGTCAAACATCCTCATATACACACACTCCACATTTCAGTTCAGTTAATTTACATACATTCCAAATACAAAAATTTCATTATATATTCGCAAGTCTTTTGCTGTTTTTTTTTTCATTCTAAAAGTTTCTTATTAGCAAACATGAACAGACAGCAACAGATTTCCTCACAGTTCCTCCGCAGAGAGTGCATCCCCCAGTACCAATCATGTAAGAATGTAGATCATACAAAATACTAACTCACCATACAAATGTTACATGAAAGTTTTGAGAATAGGTTTATAGAGGGCGTTGCGTCTCTGGGTGGGTTTGGGGGCCTGTGACATTTCTGCCCCATGGCCCCTCCTTTGATCTGGTCCTGCTGTACATCCAATTAATCAAGACCCGAAGGACAGTAGGAAAAAAAATAAATAAAAAAAATCAGTAAACAAGTGGAGAAAGGGAAGGTAGCTGGTCTCAGAAAACTGAAGCTATGTGTGAAACCCTGAGAGGCAAATGAAAACAGTATTTTGCCTGGCTTCAGAAAATGCACAGAGATAATTGGCAGATCACTACAATGGTGACCTGTTATTTCTGCTCACTTGTAAGTCGGTCAAACAATCGATGCCCGGCAGGTGGTAATGAAGGCCAGAGTAAAAGATTGCACTTACTATAGTGAAGTTCATAACTTTGAGGATCCAGATGGTGAGAGCAAGGTTGACCACTATGAGGATCATGAGGAGTAGGACAAGGAAGTAAAGGCAACGTTTCCGCCAACCGTATATCCCCACTTTATACACTTGTGGTTTTTCAGTACTTTGGACATTGTTTCTATGAGGGCACTGTTCCTGGGTCATCTGCAAGAAAACGCAAATATGTTAATGACGTTAATTGAAGATTCTATCAGACGCCTTAAAACTTGATTTAGGGATCAATGATGAGACACATTTTGGTCCTAATATAGTATTTATTTAATTAAAAAATTCATTAAGAATGCAAAAATTTTACTTTTTTTTTTGTCATTTGGTGTGACCAACAAAGTCACTAAAATGCAGAAAGATTCAGAAATTAAACAGGAAATTGGAACATAAATCATGATAACTTATTTTAATATCAGTAAGTAAAATTAATTAATGCCATACAATTTGACATTTTTTATGACAGGACTAGGCCAGTTATGGTTGTACAATGTCATGTGGTGCAAATCCACAAAACCTAATGGTATTTATATATTCATAATTTTATTATATTTGTTAAAATATTTTTATCTTGGAAAACAAATACATTTTGAAAAACAACAACAAAGATACATTTTTTAATGTAAAGATTAGGATGTGTACCCTCACATGTATTCAGTGTTTTTGTAAAATATGTTCTTTTTACTTTTGACAAATTGGCACGTGTTAAAATAGATTTTGAAAAGGTTTATATGTCATTGGTAGTAAGTATCATTCACCTTAGGACAAAAAATATTTATGACCATTGATTGATGGCTTTGACCTTTTGACCTTTCCCCTCCCCCACGCAGCCCACCCACACTGCGAACACCCACATTGCGACCACCCTCATCACGACCACCCACGTTGTTTTGACCCCGTGACCTGTTAGATATCCAGATGTGACCTTTGAGTTCCGGGGGAAGAAATATGATGTTTGTTCAGATGTTTGACCATGTCCGAGGATGACAAAACCATAAATGAAGTCCCGAGGAATGTTTTTACAAAAAACACAAGTGTGGCAGGGGGGGTTTACCATCTGGGGTTCATGTGTCCAGTTGCATTCCAAGGTGCGCTTCGATAAATAGACCCGGGCGCTTCTGTGGAAAATCTCTGTCACCGCTCAAAATCATATATATATATATATATATATATATA